GGCCAGCCTCCCCCTTCCCGACGCCCAGCTCGGAGGGCAGCTTCCCCCACTGCCTGGCCCCCCCCCAGGACCAGAGGCAGCGGTTACCGGCAGGTAGAGCCGGGGCATCCAGATCTCTGCCCCCAAACCTCTATGACCTTGGAGGTTCACTCTCCCCAAACTATCCCCCTCCAAAGGGGCTGCAAGATCTGAGATTTCCCCCATCCCCCAGCACAGACAGACCCTGCCCTTGGGGGACGGGTGCTGCTTTGCCACCCTTCCGCTAACCTTTCTCCTTCCTTCCCACCCTGTGCTACTCTTCTCCTTCTCTCTTTGGGGTCAGGACCCCACCCCAGGTGAAGAGGAAGAAATCCTGGAGTCAAGCCCCTTGCCACCCCTTGAGGAGGTAACTTTATGCCCCACCCTCACCCTAGCTGGGGGAAATGGGCACCTGTGACTCACTCCCCTCGGCCCATGACATCTTGATGGACCAGCCCCTCCTCTGGCCGGAGGGTTCTTCCTCATTTCCATTGATGGCCTCTGTCTTTGGGTCACTCTATAGTTCTGTGGGTCTGCTTGTCTCTCTCAGTCCAGCCAGTTCCCTTCAGTATCCAGGCCTTCTTCCACGATTCTTTGATTCCAGAGTGACCTCGTCTCCATGTTGGTGTCTAATGGTCTTACTTTCTATGTCCTATTTCTGTTTCCAGGAGCCACTTTCTGTCCAATGTTGTCACCGTTTGTCTTCCCTATCTCTCTGGTCATTCCTGGACTACTTTGTCTGTCATTGTGTTCATGGACTGTCCACTCTGCATCCAGCCCTCCGGCCACCCTTCATTTTATCCACCACTTCGTCCCACTGGACCCACTTTCTGGACATCTGTCCCCATTTTCAGCCTTTGATGGCCCTTCCATTTATATACAACCACTCCCATGGCTCTTCTTGGGAGAAAAACTCCAGTTCTGATTAACCTCAGAATCCTTTGGGCTAGAAGTTTTCACACCCTGGGGTCCAGGGTAAGCCTCCTCTCAGCCCTAACATCCCCATCTACTCCTCTCCCTCCCCATCCCTGGGAAGGAGCAGACAGATCTCCAGGTCCCCCCCACAGCCGACAGGTTCCAGGCAGAGGAATATGGGGAGGGTGGCACAGACCCTCCTGAAGGGCCCTACGATTACACCTATGGCTATGGGGATGATTATCGTGAGGAGACAGAGCTTGGCCCTGCCCTCTCTGCGGAGACAGCCCACTCAGGAGCCGTAAGTGAAAGGAGCTTCTCTTTCATTCTTGACCACCAGTGGGAGCTACAAGAATTGCTTCTTGTTGGTTTTGATCCTTGGCTGTTGGCTGTGAGCAACTTCCCATCTGTGACTTGTCATTTTCTGTTCACATATGATATATATGTTGCTTGAAAAGATTACTACCTGCCTTCCCTTGCCAAATGTCTTACCTTGTGACTCTTGTGGATACTTCTGCTCAGGGCAATTGGGAATTTAAATAAAAATTATATAGCTACTTCCTGTCTTTCTTGATCACTTCCTGTCTAACTGAAACTGGATTTCATAAAGCTTTTGGTCAATAAACTACTACCTTGTGTCCATTTTCAGAGTTCCTCTATCATTTCTTCTTGGTGAAACAATTTTTTTGTTCATGTTTCTACCGAACGATCTAACTTCCTATGTCGCCTTTTTGTTAACCTACAGGCCACTTATTATCTGTCCCTTCCTGCCTTCTCCAGCTGTGGCATCCATCTTGGTAACTGTGTCAGGTTGGACTGCAAGGGATTTATTATTTCTGTTCTGGCTCTAGTTTTTCATGCTATCTTGTGACAATTTCCTTTGACAATAAGCCACTTCCTGTATGTCTCAGGTCATCTAAATCATAAAGTTTCCATTGTGGGCCTCAATATTTCTCATGGCTACTTCCTGTGTGTCCTAGCCTTGATGTTTGTGTTTTCTGGAAGAATTACTCTTCACTGTCATGATTCCCTTTGCAGGAGTCACATTCTACCTGTTTTGTGCCCTTCTTTTCTCTCTGGGTCATGGTAGCCATGTTGTTGTTGAAGGTTCACTTCCTGGATCCTCTTTCTTTGGCTGCTTCCTGTCTGTTCAGCCACTTCCTGTTTGTCCAGTTTGTTTTCTAGCCATGTTGGCCATGTTTAATTTTCCTTGGCTCTGGCATCATTCTTGCTTCCACGTGTTTGTCATTTTGTTCTGTGTCCCTTAGTTGTTCTCATATCTTCCAGTATTCCCTGTCAGTGGGACTGCTTCCTGTCTACTCTGCTCCATCTTCTGCCTGCCTTGCAGTTCTGGCTGCCTCCTCTGCTGTGCTGCTGCTTCCCATACCTCCCCTCTCTTGCCTCCCTTGAGCTTCTGCTGCCTTTCTTTTATGCTGCTCTCTGGGTATTTGGGGTTGACATGGGATTTCAGAGAGTTTTGAAACTGATCATTGCTGTTTGGTCAGAATGAAGGTGGAGAGGGACATTCTGAAGATCTTTGTTGGGGGGAGTTGGGGTGGTGGTGAATGTCTCCCATTCTCCCTGTTCTTTTGTTTCTGGCCCTAGAGTTGGGAACAGTTATCTGAGTGGAGGTGTGCAAGGGAGGGAACTGGTGGGCTTGGAATGTACTTGAGGGCCAGAGGAAGGGCAATGCATTCAGTGGGGACTGCTCTCCAATTTTTTTTTTTTTTTTTTGAGGCAGTGTCTCACTCTGTCACCCAGGTTGGAGTGCAGTGGCAGAATCTTGGCTCACTGCAACCTCTGCTTCCTGGGTTCAAGCAATCCTCCTGCCTCAGCCTCCTGAGTAGCTGGGATTACAGACATGTGCCACCACGCCCGGCTATTTTTTGTATTTTTAGTAGAGACGGGGTTTCACATGGTGGCCAGGCTGGTCTCAAACTACTGACCTTAAGTGATCTGCCTGTTTCCGCCTCCCAAAGTTCTAGGATTACAGGCGTGCGTCACCGTGCCCAGCCTCCAAATTTACTTGGAGTATGGATGCTTAACCTTTGGGGCATATTTAAACTTGTGAACCCTTTGACATCCTAAATAAAATTCTGTGCATAATAGCATATACTTTTTCATTTCTGGAGAAAGACTCAGAGCTTTCATCAGATTCTTTTTTTTTGAGATGGAGTTTTGCTCTTGTTGCCTAGGCTGGAGTACAATGGCACGATCTCGGCTCACTTCAACCTCCACCTCATGGATTCAAGCGATTCTCCTGCCTCAGCCTCCCAAGTAGCTGGGATTACAGGCATGTGCCACCACGCCTGGCTAATTCTGTATTTTTATTAGAGATGGGGTTTCACCATGTTGGTCAGGCTGGTCTCAAACTCCTGACCTCAGGTGATCTGCCTGCCTCCACCTCCCAAAATGCTGGGATTATGGGCGTGAGCCACCTCACCCAGCCTAGCTTTTATCAGGTTCTCATATGGGTCCATGCCCTCCTCTTACCCCAAATAAAAATCTACCCACAATCTTAGAGAGATTCTTTTATGATGTATCGGGGTAAATGTGTGGAAGGTTTCTTAAGGTTCTAGGGATTCCTGGGGTCAGAGGGATTTTGGGGGATAGGATAGGGTCCTCTAGAAGAGGGTTTGGGAAGGTGGGTGGTTTAAAATCCCTGGAAGGGGCCGGGTGTGGTGGCTCATGCCTGTAATTCCAGCACTTTAGGAGGCCAAGGCAGGTGGATCACCTGAGGTCAGGAGTTTGAGACCAGCCTGGCCAACATGGTGAAACCCCATATCTAATAAAATACAAAAATTAGCCGGGCATGGTGGTGCACATCTGTAATCCCAGTGTAATCCCAGCTACTTGGGAGGCTGAGGCAGGAGAATCTCTTGAACCTGGAAGGCGGAGGTTATAGTGAGCTGAGATCGCGCCACTGTACTTCAGCCTGGGTGACACAGCGAGACTTCTCCTCAAAAAAAAAGAAAAAAACCCAAAAAACCAAACAACAACAACAACAACAACAACAACAACAACAAAAACACTAGAAAGGTCTGGGGACCTTCCTGAAAGAGGCTGTCAGGGAGATGGAGAGGTTGTGTTTGCTGAGGTGGGGCTGGGAACTGTTTGGGGGGCAGGGAACCCTGAGGTCTCCTTGGCAGGCTTGAAAGGTGTATGAAGAGGGAGTTTTAGGGGAGGGCTGTGGGGCTTTCGGGTAGAGCTGAAGTGGTCTTGAGAGGATCTAAGAATCAAGGTTGGAGTTGAGATGGGGGCAGGCCTGGTGTCCTGGCTGCTCACAGGCCCCACTGGGGGTTACATGTGTGTCTCCCTCAGGCTGCCCATGGACCCCGAGGGCTGAAGGGAGAGAAGGGAGAGCCTGCGGTGTTGGAACCTGTAAGTTATGCTGGTCACAGGGCTGAGGTGGTGGAAAGGGGAGAAGCAAGTGGGGTTTGGTGTGCTGGTCCTGTCACCTCTGACTTTTAACTTTTGACTCCACAGGGTATGCTTGTGGAGGGGCCTCCTGGCCCAGAAGGCCCTGCGGTGAGTCTAGCAGTGACCTGGTGACCATGCTTTTCTCAGAAAGCCCTGCTATGTGCTCATCTGAGCCGTCCCCACATATGCCCAGGCCTCCTCCTCAGAACTCTGGAGCATCTCTCCAATCAACGCTTCCCAGATTCCCAGATCTCTTCTGCACAGACCACTCCTTAGCCACAGGCTGAGTGCCCACACCTGTCTGAATGCCCACACCTGACCCCTACTGTTTTGTTCCTCAGGGATTGATTGGTCCCCCTGGCATCCAGGGGAACCCAGGCCCAGTTGGAGACCCTGGAGAGCGGGTAAGGGGGTGTCCTCTATGTGAGGGGGGAGCTTTGGGGGAGCTAGTGGTATCCAAGTGGGGGCTGCCATGCCCAGTAATTTCTTGTTAGGTGGCTTGTTAATGAATGAGGGGATGGTTTGCTTCCCAGCAACCAGAAAGGAGGGCAAACTCTGGTTGGGGAGGGTACTAATCTGGTTTCTCACCCTCAGTTTTCCCCATGGGGGTGGGAGACTCAGGAAAGAGCTAGAGGAGTCTACACTTATTCTGTTGAAGAGGATGTTTCAAAATCGTGCTAAGATCTTGATGTTCCCTTATCTGTCACCCCATATTTTGCATTCTCTTCCCACTCCAGGGCCCTCCTGGCCGAGCAGGGCTCCCTGGATCAGATGGGGCTCCTGGTCCTCCTGGCACATCTCTCATGCTCCCAGTGAGTTGTCTCTTGGGTTTTGGAACCTGCTGATGGGAAAGACAAGGAATTGTGTCGTGTTACCAAGAACCAGATGGGCAGGAAAGCTATGGAGGAGTCTCAAAAGATCATCACTCCAAAGGGATTTGTCTTTGGGGTTGGGGAGATGGGTCCTCATTAGATGACCTAGAACAAAACACCAGTCTTCTAGGACTGGGCAGAACAGCCTATATTTCAGGGACTCTAGAACCAAAAGAGAGTCTTTCTGGAGGCAGAGGCTGGACAGTGGAGGAGGAGGGCAGGAGCTGAGTTTCTGGAATCCTCTAAATGGTTATCTGGAAGCCATGGGAAATGCTGGATGGGCAGAACCTGGGGCAAGTGGCAGAAACGCTGGAGGGAACCTCTGCCTGGGAGGGTCCCATGGCTTTCTTGGAAGAGAATCTGGATCTTCTCTCCTTGCCCTCAGTTCCGATTTGGCAGTGGTGGGGGTGACAAGGGCCCTGTGGTGGCGGCCCAGGAGGCTCAGGCCCAGGCGATCCTGCAGCAGGCGAGGGTGAGTGGGGCTGCTTCCCTGGAAAGGGAAGGCTCTGGAGGGCACTGGAAGGTTTGGTTGGAGTGAATGTGGGGCAGGGGAGGCCTGGGTTGGTTTGAGGTTAACAGGGAGGTTGGGGAGAATCCTGGGTAGTGGATGAGGATCAGGAGAGGAAGGGTGAATTTGGAGGCTGCTGCGGCTGGGGGTTCCCACTGCCTCTCCCTCAGCTCTACTGTCACCCTGCTTCCCTAGCTGGCACTCCGTGGACCTCCTGGCCCCATGGGATACACAGGACGCCCTGGACCCTTGGTGAGTGAGCAGGGTGCTTGGGTGGAGGATGCTTTATTTGTGTGTGTGGTGTGGATAGTTCTGGAGAAGGGCTTCTTTTGGGGAACACTCAGAGGCCACTTTTGGGTGTGTCCTTCATTACGACCGTCCTCTCTTCTCTCTCCCAGGGCCAACCTGGGAGCCCTGGCCTGAAAGGAGAGTCTGGAGACTTAGGACCTCAGGTGACCACCCTCCTCCACTGCACCCCAGTATCTGTTCCCCAGCTCAGTCTCCCTCACTCCCCTCCCATGCCTCCTAACCTCACCCCATCTCTCCTCTTACCAGGGCCCCAGAGGACCTCAGGGACTCACAGGCCCTCCTGGCAAAGCTGGGAGAAGGGTGAGTGCCCCAGGGGTGGATGGGTGTTGCGGGGAGACAGGGCCTGCAGTGTGGGGGACTGCGCCTCTGCTTGCTCTGACACTTCCCTTGTTCTCCCAGGGCCGGGCAGGTGCTGATGGAGCCCGGGGGATGCCTGGAGAACCTGGAGTGAAGGTAACAGGCTTGGGCCCCTCCCTGAAGCCTGTAGCCTTCAGCCCACCCTGGGCTCAGTTGTTTCTTGGGGATGGCCTAGTTCCCCAGGCTCCCCCAGGATCAGTGCCCCAACTCAGGTGCAGTAGGAAGGGGTGGGGTTGGACAGGGCTGTGTCCTCACTCTGGCTGCCCCTCCTCCTCCTAGGGTGACCGAGGTTTTGATGGACTCCCAGGGCTCCCTGGAGAAAAGGGCCATAGGGTGAGTACATTAGTGGGTGTGTGTTGTAATTGGGGATAAATCTTTTGTGGGAGTGAGGATAGGTAGGGAAGGGAGGTTGGAGGCTTGGCAGGAGCTCGGTGAACGTAATGGGTCGGCTAAGTGCAGAGGTTCAGTGTCTGCCTGTGTTGGGGGCTCTGAGGCCCCTCTTATGAGTTCCCCCATTTTGCAGGGTGATACTGGTGCCCAGGGCCTTCCTGGTCCCCCTGGTGAGGATGGAGAGAGGGTACGTGTAGTGGCAAATGTAGGGGCTGGGTGCAGGGGAGGTCTAGAAGGCACGGCAGCTTCACCATGTCCTCCTCCTCCAGGGAGATGATGGGGAGATCGGGCCTCGAGGGCTGCCTGGAGAATCGGTGAGTGTCCAAGGGCTGGTGCTGGGGGAGGGGGCTCTGGGGAAGCCAGGAGGGGGACATGGGCACTAAAGGGACACAGTTTTATCCATTCATGCTGTCTCCTCCCCTCACCCTGAATGCAGGGACCTCGAGGTCTCCTTGGCCCCAAAGGCCCACCTGGTATTCCTGGACCTCCTGTAAGTGACTCCCTGACTTCTGACCCTGAGGTGACCCCTTGACCTCTCCAACTCTCCACCTTTCTAGCTGCCTTCCTGCTCCCTCTCCTCTCTCGGCATGCTTCCCATTCCCCGTGAGCTCCCCCGGCTCTGGCCCCACCCTGCCCTACCTCAGCCTTCACTCCCCAGGCACAGGGAGGGCCATGTGGTGTGGTGCCCCGAGGGCCCTTGGGCATAGGAAATAAATCCTTGAGAAAAACAAAACGAATGCCCACAAGCCCACAGATCCACAGTCCCACACCCTGCAGGCCTGGGCCAGCTGTGTTTGCTTGGGTTCGGGATGGATTGGAGGTCTGACCGTCCCAACCTTGGGAATGGCTGGGCCTCTGAAAACCACAGGTCCCTCTGGGCCACCTTCAGGCTGCTCACACCCGTCTTGTGTTTCAGGGCGTCCGAGGCATGGATGGTCCCCAGGGCCCCAAAGGGAGCTTGGTGAGTGATGGATGGCAGATCCCGCCCCCATTCTTATCCCCTGAGGTCCCTGCCAGCATCCTGTTGGCCACTATTTTGACCCCTGTCTGCTTCCTGCTCTTGCCCTCTTGGCTGTCGCTGCTGGGACTCAGCTCCATGCTCTAAATTTGTTCTGTCCCCATCTCCTTCTGACCTGTGCCTGGTCACCTGTTTCTAGGGACCCCAGGGAGAGCCAGGACCTCCTGGACAACAGGGCACCCCTGGGACCCAGGTGAGTGGTGCCCCTACTCCCTTCCCCAATTTTCATGGCTTCCCTTGGGCTTCCACAATGGGTCAGATGCTGGAAGAATACAGGAAATTAAGGGTCTCAGGCCCTTGTCGCTCATGCTCTGAATGGGGAGGCTGGCTGGAAGACACCCTGGGAGGCCCCTGTGACTTCTCTTTCCCTGTATGTAGGGTCTCCCTGGGCCCCAGGGTGCCATCGGCCCTCATGGAGAGAAGGTAAGTGACTAAGTGATTTGGAGGACAGGGGTTTAGAGTGGGGATGTAGAGAGAACCCTAAATGTCTGCTGGGATTTTGTCTGTGTCCAGACATGACCCTCCTAGTGACCCTGAGCCTCTTTGTCTTCCTGTAGGGTCCTCAAGGGAAGCCAGGGCTCCCTGGCATGCCTGGCTCAGACGGACCCCCGGTGAGTGGGCCCCCACTTCCGAATCCAGTTCCCTTGGCCTTCCGCCCCAGTGCATGACCTCAAAGCTCCTTCAGTGACCCTTGCACTGAAAGGTCACTGGTGGTGCTTGTCCATGGACAGTTGGCTTCACTAGGTCACAGGAAATTTGTGTTGGAAGAAGTGTAGGGAGGGGTATAGAGAGGGTGACAGGGGCCACTGGTCACATTTTCTATCCCTTACTCCCAGGGTCACCCGGGGAAGGAAGGTCCCCCTGGAACCAAAGGAAACCAGGTGAGATCTTCCATGTCTTTAACCCCTGAGGGAATCTCTACCCAGACTCTAGAGCCTCAAAGTCCTCGGGATTTCCTTCTCTCATTATTCATACGGCTCTGCCACATTCTCAATTCCTGTGCCCTGTAACGCTACCCAGACAGCAATGTTGTTACTTCCATTTCTCCCACCCCTGGAGGTCCCCACAGTGACACTCTGAGGCCCCTTTATAAACGTCTCTCTTTTTTCTTCCAGGGTCCCTCTGGACCTCAGGGTCCTCTAGGATACCCAGGACCTCGAGGGGTCAAGGTAACTGACCACCAGGCTGGGAGACAAAGGGCTGTGGTCAGGGGAGCCATATGGGGTCTTAGGAGCTTGGTCCTTCCAACCCACCTCCATCTCCTGATCACTCTACTTCTATCCCCTGTCTAATTCTAGGGTGTGGACGGAATTCGGGGTCTGAAGGGTCATAAGGGTGAGAAGGTGAGCACCATGCCCCCAGCTTCCCAGCACGTCAGTCCTGCCATCTCCTCTCTTCACTGTCTTCCCTCCAGCCTGCCCCGCACTGCCCTCCAGCTCCTGAGCCCCTGCTTCCACCTATGTTCTCGGAATCCCCATTAGAACCCCAGCCCTCTGTCATCTGTGGTGTCCTTTCACCTCTATCTTTCTCAGGGCGAGGATGGCTTTCCAGGGTTCAAAGGTGACATAGGCGTGAAAGGTGACAGGGTGAGTAGAGATTCCACACTGGCCCCAATTCCGTGTCCTACTGAGCTTCCACTCTGGAGACCCCAAGCAACAGTTTATTCTCCTGAGTCTCCAGACTCTGCAGTTCCAGTGCTGTGTTCTCTTGGGAGCCTGACCCCTACAGGATGATAACCCCATGGTCTGTGTCGTGCCTGCCCTCCCATCACTACACTATCCCTCCCTGCCGGCTCCCTATCCTGCAGTGGCTCCTGGGACCCCTCCAGCCCTCCTCAGCCTCACTGGTGCCCGTTTCTCCTCTGGGCCCAGACCCTACCTCCAGTCCCCGACACTCACCTGTCCTTCCCTCTCACACAGGGCGAGGTTGGAGTCCCTGGTTCCAGGGGAGAGGATGGTCCTGAGGGGCCAAAGGGACGCAGTGGACCGACTGGAGACCCTGGGCCCCTGGGGCTTATGGGCGAGAAGGTGATGGGATGAGGGTTTTGTGCCTGGGTCCTCTGGAGGTGTGGGCACTGGGGTCAGGATGGGCATGGGGGGTGCCCGCAGCTGAAGTCAGCCAGTCAGTTGAAGATGGCCATGCATTAGTTATACTTCTCTCTGTGTAAATGGCATCTCCCAGCTGCTGATGGGCAGAGGGGATATATAAGAAGTCAGGGAAAAGTCCCTGTCATGAAGAGTTGTATGGAGACGAGGCTTAGAGAGTAGCTGTTGCTTCAAGGCAGAGTGAACATGCGTTCGGACTCCAAGCAGCAGGAGTTCTGAGATGAGAGAGTCTAATAGCAGTGAGGTCTGTGGTCTCCTGAGCTGACTCTCCCCAGCGCTTGCCCTGTGCCAGGTGCTGTGCTGATGCGTCCTGTCTATACTATGAGGTAGGCATGTGACAGCACTGTTTTGCTGAGGTTTTTACGGAGGCACAGGGATGCTTGTTAATTACATGGCCAGTGAAGGGCAGAGCCAGGGGTTATGCCCAGTCAGTCTGGCTTTAGAGTCTCTGCTCCTAAGCCCTGCTCTGCAGCTGCCTGGGCAGGATGAGCCCTGGAGCCTCTGGGGAAGGGGGCGTGCACAGGAGTCAGGGTGTGGTGGGCAAAGGGCCTGCAGGGGGACTGGTCTTGGTGGAGCAGGAGTGGGTGCTGGAGTAGATCCCACCTCCCTCGTGGGGTAGATGGAGCTGAGGTTGACAGGTGGGAAGCAGCTAGATCACAGTGACCCTGAAGGACCTGATACCTCTGCAGGCGCAGGGGAGGTGGAATCCCAGCACTAGAATTGGGGAAAATCCACTCGTGAGAAGGAGAAACTACAAGTCAGGCAGCTGCGGGGCAGGCAATGGCGGGCTAGAGGCTGGGCTGTGTGGGGTGCGTTGCTGGGTCGGGGCTGGCCATTATATGTGAGGGTTGAGGTCTCCAGGGGTGGAGCAGCATCTGGATCTCCTCTCACTCCTAACTGCTCCGTGTCCCTCCACAGGGCAAGCTGGGTGTTCCTGGTCTGCCTGGCTATCCTGGACGTCAGGGACCCAAGGTGATGCCGTGCCCCATACGTGCCCCTCTTCCTCTCCCTTCCCTGATCCCTGATTCCAGGAAGCACAGATGCAGGGCAGCGGGGGACCCCAGAGGGAATTTAGCTGACCCCCATTTTATAGATGACGAAAGAGGCCCAGAGAGCAGCAGCGGTTTGTCCAAGGCCACTTAGTTCTTGGCAGAGCTCAGGTCTCCCTCGCCACTGCCTTTGTGGCCTCTCCTGACCCCCTTTGCCCCTTCCTGAACCCTACCTTTCATCACTTCTCAATTTCCCCCCTTCTCTATTCTCACCAGGGGTCCCTAGGATTTCCTGGCTTTCCTGGTGCCAGTGGAGAGAAGGGAGCCCGGGTAAGCTGGGGGATGAGAGTGGGTGAGAAGGGAAGGGCTGGAGAGGTGTAGAGGGGGTCTGTGGGGAGTCTCACGCTGGGTAATGTTCTCTCTGCTTCATTCCCATCAGGGCCTGTCGGGGAAATCAGGGCCTCGGGGAGAACGGGGCCCCACGGTGAGTGCAGGGGAGAGAAACAGGTGGCTCAAGGTCCAGAGGGAGGCATTTGGGTTTTTCTGACAACTCCTCTCCCCTCTGTAGGGTCCACGGGGTCAGCGGGGACCCCGAGGTGCCACTGGGAAGTCTGGAGCTAAGGTGAGTGGTCTCTACAGGGCTCCATCTGCCCCCCTGCCCACTCAGCCCCAGCTCTCTGTCAACACCCTGACCTCAGGGACAGCTGGAAAGCAGCTCTTCCCACTCCCTGACTCTGTTTCCCCCCAACAGGGAACATCTGGTGGTGATGGCCCCCATGGGCCCCCTGGAGAGAGGGTGAGTGTGGATCGAGAGTCCCCTTCCCCTGAACTCCCCAGGAAGCCTGGGTGAGCCAGCTCCCTCCTCACCCCAGGGAGGAAGCTGAGTTCCACCCCTCAGCCCCTGCCCCTATTCTCCTGACTTCCACCACCTCTGTCTCTAGGGCCTCCCTGGACCTCAGGGTCCCAATGGGTTTCCTGGACCCAAAGGACCCCCGGTAAGTTGACCCTGAGCTCTGACCCACTTCGCTTCTCTGAGTCCTTCTTCCCTGCCCCCTTTCCAACCGAGAGTTCACCTGACACCTGAACCCCTTCCAGGGCCCCCCTGGGAAGGACGGGCTGCCAGGACACCCAGGCCAGAGAGGAGAAGTGGTGAGTGATGCTCCTGGCTACCCATTCCTGGGGGGCTCCCTCAGACCCTTTAACCGCAGAGCTGTCTGGAAAGTCCACAGGGACGTTCTCCTGGCAGAGTGGAGCCTGCCCTGGTGCTGCTCAGACCCAGGGCCCAGGGCTTGGTGTGATCCTGCCTGGGAATCTGGCCCACAGCGCCCACACCTGCTTTCACTGCATTCTCCTCTCTTCCTCGCCTAGGGTTTCCAAGGGAAGACTGGCCCCTCTGGTCCTCCAGGAGTGGTGGGACCTCAGGTACGTTTGTCCCTAGGAGAGAATGGACCCCAGACCCTAGCATTAGTCTGTCTGCCCCACTTTTCTCGGTCACACATCCCTGCCCCTGGTCCGCCTGACCCAGACTCCTGGGGCTGGGGTCAATGGTGGGGGCTGGGATTTCAGGCAGGGGTCCTGAGCTTCAGTCTGTTTTGGGGTACATTCTCATCGTCTTGTCCCCCAGGAGAGGCAGTTCCCCGACAGAGACACAAGGTGGTGTAGTTACTCCACACGGGGCAGGAAAAAACCCAGCAGTGGCCCAGGAATGCCGGGGAATTTCCCGGGGGCTTTGGGGCAGGGATAAAGGGGTTCTGGAGGAGTGTTTTAGGGTGGCCAGGTTGGGCTCTTTTGGCAGACAGTGGGATGAAGGGCCTGAGACTGGGAACTCTCTCTGCCTTTGTCTAGGGAGCAGCAGGAGAAACCGGCCCTATGGGGGAGAGAGGCCACCCAGGCCCCCCAGGGCCCCCTGGAGAGCAGGGACTACCTGGGACAGCTGGAAAAGAAGGAACAAAGGTCAGTGAGGGGCCAGGCAGAGGGGAGGTTGGGGAACTGGGGATTGAGGTGCTGAAAGGAACAGGGAATTGGCGATTTGAGGGGGCTCGAGAGCTCTCTGTTTAATCTGGGAGCGTGGCTGTGGCTCATCACCTCTCCTTTCCTTTTAGGGTGACCCTGGTCCCCCTGGGGCCCCAGGGAAGGATGGTCCTGCTGGTCTGAGGGGATTCCCAGGAGAGAGAGGCCTCCCAGGCACTGCTGTGAGTGTGACTCCCAGACCCCTGCCTGTCACAAGCACCAAGCGTCCTGAGTCCCCTCCCTGACCCGGACCCCCTCCATGTCACTCCCCACTTGCATCTTTTGGAACCTGTCTTCCCTCCCCAGCCCTTACCCTTCTCTTTCCATGAAGTCTCATCATCCCCAAATGTTTGGTTCCTAGGGTGGACCTGGTCTGAAGGGGAATGAAGGTCCGTCTGGCCCCCCTGGCCCTGCAGTGAGTCTGGGGTTCCAGGGGGGAGGTGGTAGAAAGGACCCAGGAAAGGGGTGGGTGAGGAAGGGTAGGAGTGGCATTCCAATACCACCAGGGGCTGTGGGGCTGTGCGGCTGGGCAGAGGCTGTCCAGGGACAGCCAGAATGCATCTGATTTTGGGATCTTCTGGGAATTTTGGTCTGAGGTTCTCTGGTATGGGCAAACTGGGGTCTCCTTCCTGGGGGTCTGACTCATCTGTTCTCTCAGGGCTCCCCTGGGGAACGAGGTGCAGCAGGATCAGGGGGACCCATTGGTCCGCCAGGACGCCCAGGCCCTCAGGGTCCCCCTGGAGCCGCAGGAGAGAAAGGCGTCCCGGTGAGTGTGGGGGTCCTGGGGAGGGGCTCTGGGGAGGGGTCTGGGAGCCTAGGGTTGATGGGCTATGACAAGTTTCCTGTGGGGTGTTTAAGGGTGAGGGTCACCTCCAGGCTATGACTCCTTCGTCCTGTCCCACAGGGTGAGAAGGGCCCCACTGGCCCGACTGGCCGAGATGGGGTGCAGGGTCCTGTGGGGCTTCCTGGTCCTGCTGGGCCTCCAGGTGTGGCTGGAGAGGATGGAGACAAGGTGAGGGACCCCACAGACCCCCACAATCTTCTCTCCAGATGAGATGGCTGACCTGGGCATGACCCCTGGCCCCTGTCATGTCATCCTTCCCACTCTACCTATCACCTTTCTCTAATATCTTGTCTGTCTGCTCCTCCCAGGGTGAGGTGGGGGACCCTGGACAGAAGGGCACCAAAGGGAACAAGGGTGAACATGTAAGTGTCCATGACCTTGACTTCTGATCTCCTGGCCTTTAACCTCATTCCCACCTGATCTCTCTCCCTGTTTTGGTGTCTCTGACTCTCTTCTCTCTCCCAGGGCCCTCCTGGACCCCCTGGACCCATTGGTCCTGTGGGGCAGCCTGGAGCAGCGGTGAGTGACCCCTCCACCCCCACCAAAGGCCCAGCAGCCTCTGGTCCTCCCTCAGCTCCCCCTCTGCCCTTGGGGCTGGGAGTGGGAGCAGGGGCTCTGGGCATGGCACCCAGCTCTGTGTGGTATTTGTGGATAGAGAACACCTGACCCATGACCTATCCCTGTGTCCTTGTCTCTGCTTTCCCTCCACCCTGCAGGGAGCAGATGGGGAGCCTGGAGCTCGGGGACCCCAGGGACACTTTGGAGCCAAAGGCGATGAAGGAACAAGAGGATTCAATGGGCCCCCAGGACCCATTGGCCTACAGGTGTGTTGGGGGATAGGAACAGGGGCTGAGAGGTGGGGTCAGGATGGGGTGATGTTTGCCCCAGACCCTGCCAGCAGCCTGCTGATGAGGACTGGTGGGCATGTGGGGTCTGAGGGGAGGGGACTGTGGGGCCTATCTGCCTAGGGTTGTGCTTTGAGTGGGGTGGTCACCTGGGCCCATGTTTTGTATACCTGCATAGGGTTTGCCGGGCCCCTCTGGGGAGAAGGGAGAAACAGGAGATGTGGGTCCTATGGTGAGTGTGACCCCTACTGACCCTAGCCCCCATACTAGTCACCCCTCTCCCTGGCCAGCCCTCACCCCACACCCCACTGCTGACTCCTTGGCCTGGCTGCTCGTCCTCCTCTCTCCACCACTTATGCTCAGCCGTCTCACTTCCCTTCCCCATCTGTGGTGTATCTCTTTCCCCCCAGGGACCACCTGGCCCCCCAGGACCTCGAGGTCCAGCTGGACCCAATGGCGCTGATGTGAGTCATCTCAGCCCCTGTCCCTTCAGATCAATGTGTCTGGTCCTCTGCCTCCCTTTCCCAGACCATAAACTCTAGTATCGTCTCAGGGGCCAAGAGAAGCCCTTACTCCTGGGAGGCCTCCACTGCCTCA